CAAGCATAGCGAACCGGAAGAGTGTTAAAAATTCGGTATAATATATATCTAATCATATTTTACAACTGTAGCACTGAGTTCAAAATGTAAGCAAAGCGTTTGTTTACATTACGGACTTTACATCACCTTTAAAATAAAGTCGCGCGAGTTTTTAGTAAATGATTTCCTACATTTCCTTAATTTAACTGCATGCGCTTGTTTTGTTATTACATGCAATTGGGTGTCATAATAAATCTTTATCATCAGATATACCAGAATCCTGCTGCATTGGCCGTTGCTAATATAAACTTTAAACTATCCTTGGGATCTCTAGATCTGAGTTTTTCATTTTTATCTCGTTGAACACCCACCGATAATCACTTCGCCGAATAATTGTTAAATAATTCGTGATGATTGTACTAAGGCTCCTATTAATGCCAAGTACCCTTGTATCCTTCTTTAGGTAAAAATATGTGCCCTGAAGGTTGGATCCCATACAATGACACATGCTATCAGTTTAATATGGGCGTATCTCAAAAACTGTCCTGGGCAGAAGCCAAAGAAGCTTGTAACGCAATTGGAGATTTTGCCTCGCTACTTAAAATAAGCAGTCAAAATGAACAAGATTTTGTGAATAAACGAATCCAATTAATCACTAGTTTAAATGTCTGGATAGGTCTTAATGATGTTAAAAATGAAAATGTGTTTCGATGGTCTGCTGACCACTCGGAATTGGACAGCACCGCATATAAAATTTGGGCGAATGGTAAGCCATCTGAAAACATGGATGATCGTGACTGTGTGGCGATTCTAAGTCTCAGGAAAGACGGCGCGTGGTCGGTTCAAAATTGCGCAGAAAAACGAAACTACATTTGTATGAGACATAGAGGTAAACATTTTTTATAACGACCATTATACTCATTGAAAGAGGGAAGTAGTGTTCTATCTCCTTGACAGGCTTTTCTAAAAGTTGAGAGAGATACAAACAAGCACTCCGCGTCCACACTTATAGTCATCTTAAATAGCCAATATTAAATGTATCTTCCCATTTGCTTTAGAATCAACACTATGATATATATATATATATATATATATATATATATATATATATATATATATATATATATATATATATATATATATTATAGTTATCGCTGCCCAAACGTACAAGGAAGTAACTTAAAATGTAATAATGTTCATTTTAGATTTGCCGTTTTGCAATATTCCTCTGGGAATGGAGAATGGGAAGATATTGGATTCTCAAATTACAGCTAGCAGTTTCTTGTCTCCTACGAGTGGGCCTGCCCAGGCTCGATTTCGTCACAACCTGTTTTGGTGCCCCGTTACATCAGACCAGGTAAATTAAAACATTCAAACTAGAAATACATGCACGGGGAAACCATTCGTCTTGCTGACTGAAAAAATATATTTCCTAAACAGTTTCAAGTTTAAAAAAAAATTAAAAGAGTTTTAAAAAGCAAAAAAAGTTTAAAAAGTTAGATTTTTAAAAAAGTTGAAAAGGTTAAAAAAATTTAAAAAGTTCAAAAAGTTATGGTTAGTGGTTAGTAGTTAGGGGTTAAGGTTGGGGGTTAGTTGTTCAAAATGTGCATCGAATTTATCATAATGATAAATTCGGACGTTACTCATATAGTAATTACTCATATAGTAAATTCAAAGGTGGAGCACATGCTTGTTACGGGATGTACTCAGGAGCCTGGGACATAATTGCCCCTTAAAATGAACAAGGACACCCCGAACCACAATGTTTATGTTAGGACTTGATATTCGCAAAATAACAGTATAGAACGTATTGTTATCGTCGGGATTTATGAAATAAAAAAGCTTTTACATGTTTATACTTAACTTAACATTGTACCAGGAGTGAATTAAGCAGTTATTTATCGATTGGAAAGTCTATTGTGCAGCAGCAACTCCGTGAACTCGCTCAAGACGAGGCGAAAGTGTGAAACATTCGAGGAGATATTGTAAAAATATTTTAAATATGTCGGACCATGATGAACCGACAACATCGATGGCGTCTCAGCAGGTTAAAGTGATACAAATTCCGGTGAATTTGCCCATGCCACCGCAGCTGGCCATGACAGGTAATCTGGCAACGAATTGGAAAAGGTTTTATCGCGCGTGGAACAACTACGAAATAGCAGCACGTCTGCGAAATCCGAATAACCCTAGTACAAATAAAGAACTAAGAATAGCGACTCTGTTGACGTGCATTGGAGCTGATGCTCTTGATATGTTTGACGGACTGGACTTCGCGAATGAAGATGAGAGAAAGGACATCGATGTTGTCGTAAGCAAGTTGGAAAAGTATTGTATTGGAGAGACAGATGAGACGTACGAACGGTATTGTTTTAATAAAAGAGATCAAGAGTCACACGAAACGGTTGATGCTTACTTCGCAGCTCTTCGTACGTTAGCCAAGACGTGTAACTTTGGTAATTTGGAAGACAACTTGATAAGAGATCGTATTGTCATGGGTATTAAGGACAACGCCACACGAAAGAAATTATTGCAAGTCTCAAAGCTTACTCTGCAACAAAGTATAGATATAGTTCGGTCTTGTGAAAAGACGGCGAAGCAACTCGAGTCGATGAAAGTTGAAGGTGAGCAAGTGTTGGCTGTTGGAAAAGAACAGTACAAAGAGCAAAGGAAGCGAGTCGAGAAAAGAGATGAAGAAGTGTTAATCAAGTGTAAATTTTGCAACAAATCTCATCCCAGAGATAAGTTCAAATGCCCAGCCTGGGGCAAAACATGCTCATTGTGTAAAAGAAAGAATCATTTCGCAGTCGTCTATAATGCTCAACGAAGACCATTTAGCCAACGAAAGTCAGTATCGGGCGTCAACGATGATACATCGGAGGGAGAATATCTAGCTCTGGTGGAGACCAAAGAAGAGGTAGGTGCAGTTAACTCTGATCAATACACCTACAAACCAAGTGCCCCCTTGATGATTAACAAAAACCTAGAAAGTTTTCAACTTGACAGTGGAGCCACAGTAAATGTATTATCTAAAAGGACACTGGCAGGTTGTTTTCGAAAGCCTATTGAGAAGAAGCTGGTAAAAACAAACACAACCCTTGTAATGTACAATGGGTCCGAAGTGAAGCCTATTGGAAAGACAAGGATTCAAGTTATTAATCCTAAGAATAACAAGAAATACGGTGTAGAGTTTATGGTAGTGGAAGAGAATTGCAAGTCCATACTCGGGGCTAAAGCTAGTCAACTCATGAACTTACTTGCAGTTAACAAAGAGAACATTTTTACTACCGAGTCAAATGTCAAAGATGTACCCAAGTTTATCACCAAACAGCATCTCATTGAGGAGTATCCAGCAGTGTTCCAGGGTCAAGGAACTTTACCGGGCACATTGCATCTGGAGATTGATGAATCCATCTCCCCAGTCCAGCTCCCAACACGAAGGATTCCACTGGCTGTGAAAGATAAACTCAAAGCAGAGCTCAACCGACTAGGCGATGTGAACGTCATAGCTCCTGTAGATACACCGACGACCTGGATATCGGCTATTGTGGTTACAGTCAAGAAGAATGGTGACATCCGATTGTGTATTGACCCAAAGCCATTAAATAAGGCTCTCAAGCGTAACCATTACCCTTCACCCACCATTGACGATATCCTACCGGATTTGGCCCAGGCTCGCTGTTTCTCAGTCCTTGATGCCAAGAACGGGTTTTGGCATGTCCGTCTTGATGAGCCCAGTTCCTTTGCAACAACTTTTGGCACTCCGTGGGGTCGGTACCGGTGGCTGCGAATGCCCTTTGGCATATCACCCGCACCAGAAGAGTTTCAACGTCGTGTGAATGACATCTTGCTGGGTCTCCCTGGAATCAAAGTCATTGCAGATGACATTCTTGTTTATGGAAGTGGTGCAACCGATGAAGAAGCTTATCTAGACCACGACAAGAACCTCAGGGGTTTGATGGAACGGTGCAGAGAGAAGGGTCTCAAGCTGAACCCTGACAAGATCCAACTTCAACTCAAAGAGGTAAGCTACATGGGCCATCGTATTACCTCGAATGGACTAAAGATTGACCCCGAGAAAACGAAGGCCATCCGAGACATGTTCCCACAGATAAGCTGGGAGTGCAGCGATTGCTTGGCATGGTGAACTATGTCCAGAAGTTTGCCCCTAAGCTAGCTGAAATTACTACACCTTTACGTGATCTGATCAAGAAAGGAAATGAATTCGTATGGGAGGAACATGTACACGGGAAAGCGTTGGATGAAATCCGGCAGATTCTTTCAGAACCATCAGTACTACGGTTCTTTAATCCCAATGTAATGGCAGTCCTGCAGTGTGATGCGTCCATGAATGGTCTTGGAGCATGCCTTTTACAAAACAATCAACCAGTGGCATATGCATCGAGGTCTCTAACACCAACTGAAGTGCAGTACGCTCAGATCGAGAAAGAGATGCTGGCCATTGTGTTTGGGATGGAAAGATTCGAAAGTTATCTGTATGGTCGAAACGTAAAAGTGGAATCAGATCACAAACCACTAGAGTCTATTTTGAAGAAAAGCCTACTAAGTGCACCGAAACGCTTACAAACACGCCGGGCTAGAACACCCGAAAATTCGGCCATATATCTGTCAGTAAAAAAATTCAAAATGTCCGCCAAAAATATCAAAATTGCCGCCAATGGGCGGAGCTATGACTTCGTGAATAAATTGCGATTGGGGGTGATTAGGTTCAAAATGTGATAGCTTAGTATGATCGAAATTTATCTTTGAGATCCTCTGTATACCTATATACCCCCAAAATTCACAAAAGTCAATGGCGGGCGCACAGAAAAATGAAAATATCAGTGCACAGATGTGTTCTTCTTCTTGCTGCCCGGTAACAAAATATGTAGAAAATAGCTGGTTAGGGGCTATTTAAAAAAAATCGAAACCATAGAATTTACCAGCTCGATTTTAAGTTCAATAAAAGAAAATTTCATGCTGATCAAACACTCTCATCATCCCATGTTTTCTTGTAAATGATGTCTTCTAACAAAGCTGCATCATGGAAGCGATGTCCCATTGGCGAACTCGCGAGGAAACGAAAACTTTTGAGAGATAGTTACCTTCAAGCTGATGTCAAACGTGTAGAATTGGTAAACGAACTGGACTGTGTTCATCACGACATAGATAAAATGTCAAAAAGGGTGAGGAAAAGTTAATATTCATTACTAAAAATACTTAAATATTTTGTTTAGCAAATTTCACAAATTCATTTTAATGTGCAATGTATTTGTGCAATGTAGAAGACTGTGCATTGTATAAATGTGTTTTACGCTACTGATTGAAGAACAATAAGTAGGATGAATAAATGCAGGCTAATAACCATGTCCCTTGCAATATTGACATAATGACATGTGAAAAATTAATTTCGCGAATTAAAGGTTCTTATAACAATTAAATTGTTAGATTGATCGCCATAAGGAGAAGTTAGCTGATCTGTGTTTAAATGAGCAGGCGTTGTCTGAAAAACGAAGGCGACTTGAACCAAAAACCTTTGCAGGATTTTCAAAAAGGAAGGAAACAATAAGACAGATGACACCATCCACATTATGTCCGGACAACTCTGAGAAGCTATGCTCGGATATACCAGTAAGATCTGCACAAAGAAGACGTAAAGAAACACTGGACGCCTCTAAAATTATTCACGGAAACAGTGAAGGTATAATGGTACTCTCATATTAAAAGTATGAAATATACCTACAGGTATATTACAGAATATGGTCCCATCTGGCTAAATATGCGGATAATACAAATCACTCTTAGGGGCTGTTTACATGAGCCTCGGCTGACTGGGCTCCCCCGTTGGCTCAGACGGGATCTCAGTAAACCAGGCCCATAATTATACACTAAAATGTTATTTTTAAAGGAATTCAGAAAGAGCCCCGGTGCCTCGGATTAATGTAAAGAGCCCCTTAGTGCTGGTATAAATAATACTTGCACACCCACATTCACATTCTGACCAAAAATGGTAAAGCTGCCCTTGATGGTTTATGGGTAACGTTAGCCAATGAATGTTTTGAACAACAGCTGCATTCATATGTTGAAGCATCACCCAAAATGCAAAAGATTATTCCCATGGTAGTTAAAACACAAACTAAGAGAGCCATGATAACATGGTAAGAAGCTTGAAGGTCCTGTATACAAAAGGACTTCTCTCAAAAGAAAAATACAAAGCTATATGTCCAAGCATTATTTCAGTACCATGCACAGAATCTTCTCCTACAATCACTAATGCAAAACTTGTATACTACGATAAGCTTATTGCATTTGTTAAGTCTGTCGACATTGACGATATCAAAGACTTTTCTCATGCCTTTTGTCAAGGGTTGGAAGCGTTTGAAGATCCAGTTAGTGAGTCTTATAGAGATCTCTGTAGTTATCTTTTAGTATTAGCAGAGCTATATATCTTAATTGATCAAGCATTAGGGTCTAACTCGTTTATTAGGCATTTTGGAAGCCTGCCAATATATCACTTTAGGGTTGCATTAGGGGCTGATGGTGCTCCTTTTGGCAAAGAAGAAAAGGCTACAGCATGGCTTGCCTCTTTAATTAATGCGGCACAACACATTCAAAGTGAAAATGATAATTTTATCATATGTGGGGCAAATTGTTCTGAATGCCACATAGGTATGCAAAGGTATGCTAAAAAGTTAGTGAGTGAAATTTCAGATATTGAGAAGCAATCATACACTGTTGCTGGTTATTTAGTAAGATTTTCTGTAGAACTAATCCCCAGTGATATGAAATGGCTTTCCATTATGTCAGGGGAGCTTAATAATGCTGCTTATTACTTTTCGCCATTCGGAAATGTAAACGAAGGAAACAAATCTACTACAAATGGGGTTTTAGGCAAAGATTCTGCATGCACATGGCACCCATGGGATTATGACGAGCGAATTAAATCTGCCGAAAATGTTGCTAATAAACGGGAGAGCTTAAATCAAAGTAAGCTGTCTGATGCAAGTAAACGAAATAAGCTTTTGAATTTCATTAGAGAGCAGAATTCAAGACAAGAGCATGAACACATCTTGGGTAATCTCATTGATAATGGGTTTGCAGAGCCACTCCACAATAGTAACAACGGTTGGGGAAGCTTACATAATATAATGTTGGAAATTGCTATAGCTAAGTCAAAAATCCCCCCTAGTGTCACAGAACTTAATAGTTTACCTAGTCAATGCAAGTTTATTGTTTTTTTAACAATACTGAAAGACACCTTACATGTCACCAGGCTAGTTAAAAAGCTAAAGCATTGGTTTAAGGAAAGTCGAAACAAGTCTTTCATTTATCGGTTCACTGGAAAAGAAACAAAACTATTTTGCCAAAAATTTGCATTTGTTATCCACTGCCTTATTGATAAAAATGATCCCCCAGAAGTGAAACAGAAAATTTCGGCGCTAAATTTCTGTTGCATACAGCCTCGAGATGCTACTGCATATTATTCACGCGTTTTCATTAAGTAAGATGAAGTAGAAAAATGTAAACAGGCCTGTCAATATTTCTTTAATATATATGCCCTTATGTTAAGGTCAGTAACACCAACAGTTTGGACCATAGGGTATGCCATTCCAGCACATTTAGAAATTCCATTTCAGAGATATACATTGGGTTTAGGCATTAATAGTATGCAGAGAAGGGAGGCAAAGCATGTTCGTCTCTCGCAATTTGCTAAACACTCAACAAAAACTACCCGGTGGGCCATGCTTTTGCGGCATGATTTCATTGCAAACGTTTGGATTCGCAAGCAAGATCCTAGTTATTGTACCTATACAAAGTATGAGCATTGTTACATACCCAAGGAAATAGTCTTAGGTAACTTCTGCTACTGTGGTTTTCCTTTGGACCAACAAGTTACAGAGTGTTCTATTTGTTCTTCATCCATGCATAAGGCAATTGCTAGGAGTGCCAGAGCTGGAGCTTTAGAACACACACAGATTACAAGTACAGTATGAAGTCAGCTGTTTTTTGCAATAATATTGCTCTGGATTACTACTCTAACTTTATAGAAGTAGACAGATTATACTCGAAGACAAGCACTGAAGTTATCCAAAAATTAAAGGCACACATGGCACGTTGCGGTGTACCTGAGCGGGTAGTCAGTGATAACGGGCCACAGTACAGTTTCAGCGAGTTTCAGGACTTTGCTGCGCAATATGAATTCGAACATGTAACCACGTCGCCTCGATATCCTCAATCAAACGGGAAAGCGGAAAGTGTGGTGAAGACAGCAAAGCGAATTATGATGAAAGCGTTAGACGCGAAAGCAGATCCTTATCTGGCCATGCTCGAACACAGGAACACACCATCAGAAGGTATGAGTACCTCGCCTGCACAACGATTATTTGGAAGGAGAACAAGATCCACAATTCTAACCTCGCGTAAATTGCTTGAGCCTACCTGTATGCATTCTACAAAACAGGAGCTCCAACAGGCAAAAACTAAACAAGCTTACTATTACAACAAGGGGTCTAAGAAACTTCCAACACTCAAGGTCGGTGATGCAGTCCGTATGATGCCCGAGAAAGGAAAGAAAAGCTGGAGGAAAGGAAAGGTGAAAGCGATTGTTAGTCCGAGGTCGTATATTGTTGCAACTGATGATGGAGGAAACTATAGAAGAAATCGCAGGCATCTTCGAAAAACTGTGGAACGAGACGAGTTAGACGCAGACATAGAATTACCAATGGAAGAACATGATGTACCAGACCAACAGCAGCTGCCAGAATGCGAGGAACCGGTTGCTCATGAACCTGGAGAGCATGCAGCTCCCAATGGTACAAGGAGAACATCCAATAGACAAACACGTAGACCAGCATATCTCGAGGACTATGTCATTGAATCCTAATGCAAGTTTAATAAATTAAAAACACGTTTATGTTGAAATTTGAAGGAGGAAGATGTTATGGGGTGTACTCAGGAACCTGGGACATAATTGCCCCTTAAAATGAACAAGGACACCCCGAACCACAATGTTTATGTTAGGACTTGATATTCGTAAAATAACAGTATAGAACGTATTGTTATCGTCGGGATTTATGAAATAAAAAAGCTTTTACATGTTTATACTTAACTTAACAATGCTGGAACTTTTTAATTTAAAAGTCGTGAATAAAGAAGCGCCTTGGGCTTGTCTGACTTGGTAGATCAACAACTGGAGTGGCGAAGCGAAACCGCGACGGTGTGAGTTCGATTGTGTTTACCTTTGGAATTTCCGAGTTTATGTCTGATGACTCCATAAATGGAAATGTATGAGGTATTACTCCCTCGAAACATGTTGCCAGAGTTGTTGTTGACATTATACCAGAAGCATTTGAGGAATCGGAAACCTTTTCGTTTAACGAATTCAAAAAAGTGTGATTGAGAATGTGCTGCAGTTCCAAAGCCAAAGGCGAAATGATTGATCATGCAAAAGCTGCATCAACATCTTTTGTTCGAGCTCGTGCGCGCCATGGGGATGATTTCGGATGCTGTATAAACAACAGAAGAGTTCAGATCTCAAGAGATTGACAGTAACGAGACACTAATATTTATATTAAAATTTTGTGTTATAAGATTTTGTGTCATAAAAATGTATGTTTTGAAATTATGAACTAGAACTAGAAGTATGAATTAATTGATATTACTCTCATAACAATTCTGTTGATGTTGGTTCATCATGTCTCTTCTTGACGGAGGGCAGTTGCTAAATATATGTGTATGGTTTGCTCTGTATCAGAGCTCATCAAAATGCCAAGGAAACACTGATGAAATGTTGATTTATATCAATAAAAAAATAACCTGGCAAGTTTTTAAATTATATGTTCTTATATGCAGGCTTTTGCTTGCAATTAGAGTGAAAACAATTCTAGTAATTATTAGTTTCAAAAGTTTCTTAATGTACATCGTATAGCCTAGGTTTCTGTAATCATAATCGTTTATAAACTAAATATCTTAGGGTATGTGCTGCATCGTACCCAGGCGCTTTAAATAATTACATTACATGAAGTATTCAGGCAGGCAGGCGACGCGCGAAGGGGCTGTTGGGAAGGGTGCGTGCTGGGGAGCGCCTGGCAGTTCTTGTATACTGTCATGGCGGACAAACATGGAATTTAATACAAAACGTTACCATATATATCGTCATATACTTATTTTTTGACGAAGAGTCGAATTGAACGCCATTGGCAAATAATAATATACATTTGTAGATGTTCGATGACATACAAAATGCGCGAAATTTGAGTAAATTACATGGCAAGTTAACCGTGCGAATATTTCGAATATGTCATTCGGTATTACATGGAGAATAATAGAATGCTATTAGTATAAAACAGTAACAGAGAAATGATTAGAAAGTCATATAATTCATTTTGTATTAATAACTTCCTTAGCTGAAGGCTCGATCAGTCGATCACAATGCCAATGGCAATTTCTATTAAATGTATACTGTAAACAAAAGCCCAAGTAAATAAAAGTTCACAGCCGTAAAGTTTGAAATATTTATTACAACAGTGCAATTTTATAGTTTGTACCTTTATATAGTTATAGTTTACAAATATAGATCCTGCAAGTCTAGTTCTTCAACTCTTCGGTTGTTGACATGTTAATATTGGAATTTCCATGGACTTTAAATAAGGCATATGTCATATATATCGCCCTATGTAAAGGAATCCAAGATGGTGTCGGATTCCGGATCCTGGCTCGTGGATTCCGGATCCTGATCCGTGGATTCCGGATCCTGACCCGCGGATTCCGGATTCCTTCTTAATAATAGTCAGTGGATTCCTTGACTAATAGTTACTTTTTATAAAGATTTCAATAACTAACCTGAATAACATCCGGTCAAAATAAGGCTTTATTATATTTTGTAAGATTAGAGGACCTAAAACTGCTAAAGACTGCTGTAAACATGCATGCCATAGTCTAATACATGTACATCAGTAACCTTTAAACACTTTTAAAAAACAAAACATGATATTAAAGCTTATTACATCAACATAATAACAAGAAACACTAAATGTCAATATTACGAAGCATTATTCATCATTTGGTAAGTTCTGTTACCTAACGCAGTATAAAACGACTAGTTCTTCTTCCTAACGAGCTCATTCTTTCATGTCTTAATTAATGGTCCTGTTTCTTGTGGTTCAGCAAATACTCTTTCCTGCTCCTCTTCTTCATCTTCACTTTCATCATGCCCGTTAGCAAGCCTACTCAACCGGATGGCTTCGTTGGGAGACAAAATAACATTTCAACTGTCTTCAAGTAAGAAATTGTCCACCTTTGCTAAGATGCAGTTCGGCGAGTTTTCCATTGATATGTCACCGCAAGTGTAAATCATTGGATCTGTTGTTTGATTAAGCCACTGAAATTTTACAGCGTTGCTCTTGTATTTTCTAGTAGCCAATTCGACATAATTATTTTGCATCAGTACGGCAAGTCAATAGGGGGACAATTCTCTCCTACGATTATGTCTAACTGCAATTACATCATCATCTTTTAAGTAGACCACACGCACTCTTATTGTTGTCTGTGCTTTGTCCTCAATGTGCACCATCGGCAACAAAACACACAGTTGTTACATATCGGGTATGTTTGATGGATTTGAGATGACTTACGGACGCATACTCAGGGTGCACGGCAAAGTACCTGTCTGTTAATTCTTTAGTCTTTGAGCGGACATTTGTTTGTCGAACTCCTCTTCCATGTTCTTGGATAAAATTTTTCATCACTCTGCTTCTTCTCGTTTGTCTTCTTTGGCATCCCCAGTTTCTGTTTGTGTGGAAGATATTCTGCTGGCCCTGTCAGACAAATTTGGTGGTTCTTCGTTAATAATCTTCTCGGGATAAAACGAATATGGGCCAGTGAAGTAGCTGAAGTGTTTCTCGGGTAAATCCAAAGCACGCTAACTTCAACACAGCGAGCTCGCTTGTGTGCGTATTCTGCAACGCATACCTTCAAAGAAAGTCTCTACGCTTAATGTTGTCAGGCTTGTGAAGCGAATCTTGTTGGCCAATTTAGCCATTTCATGTTGGAGTGGAATCAGCCCTACTGCTGAAATGACAATGACCCTTCCAGATCCTTATCCATAACAAACACTTTTGAAACGCCTTGGTACTGAGTGCACTCCTTTTGCAGGCTTTTTAATAATTCTGGTATTTTACATGTTTAAATATGTACTTCCATATATCAGCCTCCTAGAGTTTAGAATTCACCTCTATAGCTTCATATTAAAGATGAAAAATAACAATGATCGGTTATTATTTATATTTCACTGTATGTACTATTAAATTATACCTGACTAACCTGAGAATTGAACAACGGCAGCGCTAAATATTTATGATATTTAAATCTCAAAGGGATATAAAAGGGACGATACTGAAGGTGGAAAATGGGGGAGGGGGGTATGGGTCACGTTTCACAATGAAAACAAAAGCCGTTTCACCAATTCACGTATCTCAAAAAAGCAATTTCACATTTTACGGAAATTCTAATAAAAATAATATAATAATAATACTTATTAATAGTATACTTAATACATGGTACAGCATCTACGCTTTAAGTTATCTCACTTCTCTGCCTGGCAGTTAAAAACTGCATTATAACTTACATGTTTCAGTGACGTGTATGTGCGACGACCTCCGAAAGGCCTGAGAAATTTTTGCTCTTGTGCGATCGAGTGAGATCGATCATATCAATTATTATCGCATATTATGTCTATTATGACTGTTATAAAATAGATTGAAATAAACAAAGTAAAATCACAGTTCACAAAACAAACATCCTTAATTCTCATTTCACGGAGCATTTTTATCGACAATCACGCCTCACGGCTATAGAACAAGTCACATTTCACGACACCAAAGTCAAGCATTTCGCACGAACAAATATTGACCATTCACGACTCACGAAAATGACCCTTTCCCACCCTCAATACTCGGCTATTCCGGTCATCACTTTTCTCTCTACTTTGTTTCTTGTGCTTTTTTCCCATTTCCTAGAATAATATTTTATAAATACGTTTCAATTCAACTCAATATCTTGGCAAAAATAGTAGAAAACGATCAGTGTTTCAAACGGACCAGTAATTCGACTAAAGATTCAACTATTTCGGCGAGGTAGTCAACAAATTTGCGCGCTCCTGTCGCGCCACAGTTAATAAAATAGGATGGTTTGGCTAGCCGGCAAACTTCAAAGGGATTAGGCGACGGCGGCAAAATATGTTGAGGATCAAAGGAAAAAGATGTCACGTGACGGTTTTAGTGCATGGCTTGAGACCAATTACTATAAGATTATATTATAGTTTCCAATGTTTTCATGTTTCATCGCGAAATAACGGCGCTAATAACATTTGTTTTTGTGCTAAACTAAAGTCATATCATAAAAAGAGTTATGGACGACGATTTAGAGGCGATTGTATCGATTCCCAGGGAATTGGAAGGCGAAAGTTGTTCGAGCAACATTGTCGAGGAGTTGGCGTTATTTCATGAACATGAAGAAACCTGCGAGAATATTTTCCCTTATAATCTTGAAATTGCGTTGTCTTTTATTGAAGAAGTCGAAGCAACTATGGAAGAGGAGGTCGCAGACGCTGTGAGCGAAATATCAGGCGAAAATAACTTTCCTTGCAAAAATTGTGACAGGATTTGCAAGTCGAAAGGTGGCTTGACGAGACATAAAAATGCATAACATGGGAACAAAATTACAGCGGGGAAAGAGAACGTTTCTGCATCGAAGATATCGCTAACACCTAAGTAGTTAAAATCCATTGTTGATAAAGTTAAGACAAAAATAAAGGAGGATGCTTTCTGGGACAGCGAAATGACTTCGAATATGGCAAGCATAACATCGAACGATTCACTATATACGATAATATATTGCCAATTTATGAACGATTTTTTCGAAAGCTAAATCAATATTCATTCTTAGCAGACTTTCGTCTTGCCTATTGCAGTCTAAAAACCAACAATTATGCAGTCGTAGACGCTATTGATATGATCTCAGATACTAGGGACACCGTACTCCCGAGACAACTTTACCGCACGGCTATATGAGAAACACTAGCCCTGGCACTGTATCCCCTCCTGCAAGAATGGCTCTAAGTGCGAGATTGTGACTCCTGAAACATGTAGTTATTTGTTTGTGTGATGTTACTCTGAGTGTATATCCACACCGGGCAGGCTTGAAAAATATGCCTGGCCACGGCGGGATTCGAACCTACGACCTTTGGAATACTAGCCCATTACTCGAACCGTCCTGACCGCGTAGCTCAGTTGGAAGAGCATTGGGCTAGTATTCCAAAGGTAGTAGGTTCGAATCCCGCCGTGGCCAGGCATATTTTTCAAGCCTGCCCGGTGTGGATATACACTCAGAGTAACATCACACAAACATCTTATTCACCTGAGTACATTACACCAATACAGCAGATTTCATGTAGTTATTTGTTTGATGGCTTGGGAATCAGGTAATGAAAAGTTATCTGTGGAGGCCGAGACAAATTGTTTACATGGACAAAAGTTGTCCCTACGACCAAGGGTAACCCTGTTTTGTAAACAGGGTGTCCCTACCGCCAGGGTGACCCTACCAGCCGAGACGAGTTGAAAACTTTCCATATAAACACTTGCATTTAAATTAAATGTTATATAACGAATATAATGTTGCCTCTCCTTGGGTAGTAGGGTGACCCTAGTACCCGAGATCATATAAACAGCACCTAATAATGATTTCAATACCAGACCATTTAGTGACATTCTCAAAAGGTCTTACTACATGCAGTGGACATGCTGGAATTTCTTCAGAACTTAATGAGAATGAACACGGTCCCCTGTCCTACATAGCATGCTATGTGTTGTCAAATCTGAAGAAAAAGTCCAAAAACAAAGCAAATGACGACGGCTTCAAATAATTTTAGAACATATGATCAGTTCTGGTTTGGAAAATGAATACTTTAAGGCACACAGTCAAGGAGGTCTGGCTACACCATGTAATGATTTGGTCAAACTACTAGAGGTTGCAGGGATTCTATTCAGACAGTTTATATATAGGGAAAAAAAGTTAATTTGGCTTTATGATCCTTAGATAAACATACTTTTTGTACATACAATTAAATAAATTTAAAAATATTTATAATGATAATTTCAGTGCCTTAACAAAGTGCATAGCAATTGATATAATTTATGTGATTGTCCACCATTCCAAAAATACTTTTAACATAACCAATAATTAACACCCTACTCTCCATACCCCTGGGCCTAAATATACTAGAGCCGTGTTTACACTGCGAGCCTAAGCCTGGCCTGGGCCTACCTTTGGACCAGATTTTTTAGTGTAAATGCACTTCGGCCTGGCCTAGGCCAGGAAATGTGGGCCTATCAGAACAGTTGGCCAGATTTCCTGTCCTAGGCCAGGTTGAAGACATGAAGTGCGTTTACACTACAAAAATCTGGTCCAAAGCTAGGCCTAGGCCAGGTTTAGGCTAGTAGTGTAAACACGGCTTAGGGCATAGTGGGATAGGGTTGGGCAATGGATGCTCGCCATATCACCATGTTGGAAAGAACCGACAAAGGGGATACCTATACACATTTTAGTAGAAGTCAGATAATTTAAATAGGGCTCATCAATTTATTTTTAGTTCAATAAGAAGCTATTTGACTGTTTTGTGTACAAGATACAAATTTAACATAGCAATATGTTATATATAGTAATATAGCATCCTTTGCAATGGAGTTTAGGTATTCTTTCTGACGTAAACCTTTGCATATTTTGAATTCCCCCCTTTGTAGAGACAGCAAAAGTTCAGCAATTTCAGCAGGGTTCATCCGTCATCTATGGCTTGAATAAATTTTGTGATCATCAAGGGAGAAGCAAATTGTAAACATGTAACAAAAAATGTATACATGAATCTATAATAAGCACAAATTTATGGATTGAATATCGCTGTCCCGAAGTTCAATTCCCATTTCATCATCGGTACATGCTGTGATACTCCAAGGATCAAGCGAAACTCCCTTAACATTTTAACAAAACTTTTCAAACGTTTCTTTTTTCTCCATGGGTGCCAGCTTCTTGTTGTCTTTCAAGGACCCAACGTATGCTTGACTTGGTTTCATGGCTTTTTAACGGCAGATTTTCAGTTGGAACAGCTCCTGTTTCTAACGATTTCCTCTTTCAGTCTACAAAAGGGCAAAAATTCAATTACTAGACTAGTATTCACAGTTATTTAAGATACATTCAATATATAAACCGCAAATATTTCAACCATATTGATTATACACAATAAGACAAAGGCCGAGCAATTACAATATTTCGCGCAAAGATAAAAAGTCCGTACTTACAATCAGATGTCAATTCTTCTTTGAAATGACGCTCACATACGAAAATCTTATTTTCCTCGATTTTCTGCTTCATTTCGAGAGTCATTTCCCTTGTTCTTAGTATCCATGTAGCCCATTCTTTACGCGCAATCTCCTTCGAAGCTTTCGTCTCTTGTCAATTATCCACTCTAGGTCAAGGTAACTTAAATAACGAAAGACCACTCTTTCGACTTGTCGAACAGCCATACTTTGCACAGTTGGCACCCGGCGTAGCGTAGCTACTGAGATTTTTCCAAAATTCGCTAGAAAAAGCAGTTAATTCGAAGGTTTTCGGCGTAGAAGTGCGTCGCCGCTCATATTGTAAAGAATTCATTGTTTATCGCTGATGCACTAAAAGCGTCACGTGACCTCAATAGTCGAGAACAATAACATATTTTGGGGGTGTGTCCAGCTAGCCAAACCATCTTATTTTATTAACTGTGGTCGCGCCCAAGTGCATAATTCAGAGTTAGTTTGTTTGTTCTTATTAACACCACTTCATGTAAATTTTATAAGGCGGGGATACTTGTATTGCATGAATTTAATGAGATCACGTACGTTAAGATTTGATGCAGAGGGTTTGATGTGTCACGCTACAAAACCATTATATTTTATAAAGTGTGAAAGCTGGATTCCGTATTCCAAGACTAAAATAATGGATTCCGGATCCGAGTCAATGGATTCCGGATTGCACGTCATGGATTCCGGATTCTGAAGTGCAAATTTTTGTTGGATTCCGGAATCCGGATTCCTTTACATAGGGAGATATATACCAAGAATAACAGCATGAATTCACGCCCAGATGACAGAAGAATATTAACATTAGTCAATTCAACAAGAACAAGTAGCAAAAATCGTAAACGAGAACGAAATATCACAACTTGCAAGAAATCGTACAAAGTTGCAAGAAATCGACCAAGAATTGCCAGGCGTCTCGCATTTCAAGTGCATTCTTCCCATCAGCCCCATTCGCCATCTCTCCCCACTACAATACTTCATGTAAACTCGTCATATGCGCATCACTGTTTTTTTTACAAAGAGGCGCCTGGGTACGAGGCAGGGGTATGTGTATATGGAAGCGAGCCAGTCCGGTTACCTGAGCTAGGTAGATTTTCCAAGCCGATTTGCTTGTGCCAAGAGTGGCGTAGCCAGCGAAATTTGACTATCATTCGACATTTGACTATTAATTCGAAAGTAGAATGGTATGGACGTGCTTAAACCACCTCCACAAGTGTATCACTATGTGTTTGAAAATATCGTTAACAGTGGCCAATCGGCTGGTATTTTTCTTGCTGTGAAGAAATACTGGTATATCGGGGAGAGGATTTCTTTAAGCGACCAACAACATCATCGAATCAGCATATTTACGAATAAAAGAGATTATTATACATTGTAGTTGGTAAAAGTAATTTGATTGGCTAAGAGCTTACAGTTAAATCGCGCAATCACGCAATCTACAGAAAATTCAGTTATCTGCTACTTATCACTCAGCTATCTGCAAATGAGCATGCGATAATTAGCAAGCAGTATCTATTTACATTCAAAATACAATAACCTTCCGACTTCCGCTTCTGTAACTTTGTTTTGTATTTCTGTAATTTGTTCTATATTGTGTAGAGATTTTTGTCAGCAAATATCGCGTTAGAATTCCCCTTTTTTTCCTTTATATACGTCAATTTGTAGCAAAGGATACACCATTCGTTAGATTCTTTACATAAAAGTTGTGAAATTTTCATTTTAGTACGCCAAATGATTGTATTAGGTAATTTTAAATTTGTAGAGTATGAACACACTAGGCGGCGGTTTAAAACCGATTTCAGATCAGCAAATATCGCTATAAGACCTAAGTTTCGCAACTTTTATGCAAAGAATCTAACAAAAGGTGTATTCATTGCTACAAATTGACGCATATAAAGGCAGGAAAGCGAAATTCTATCGGACCTAACGCGATATGTGCCGATAAAGCGGTAATCGTTACAGAAAATAGAACAAATAAATACAAAACGAGTACCAGAATCGGGAAGGTTCTGGTATTTTGACTCTAACACAAACAAATGTATAATAAAACAATTATTGAATTCGGTTTTTGTGATATGCAAAATTATCAAAGTCTCGGTAAGCGTTTTTACCTCGGCCTTCATAATTCCGCATGTCACATAAACCTCATCCAATAATTGTTAATTATTCTCGCTTCGATGGATTTATCGTGTGTAGAAAGAAACGCTATTATGGATCTACAGTTCTCTATTATAGCAATTCGCATGCATCTTTTCAGTTATTGCGTTTGACGAGCTCTGGCGATATAAATCCAAATCCTGGCCCTCAGCTAGGTGGCAGGAAATATTCATGCACAATTTGTGACAAAACCTTGGCTCGAAATCATAGGACGGTTGAATGCGCAAGTTGTTGCTTAAAGTTTCATGTCAAGTGCGGTAAGATATCATTGAAGAGGGGGTAGTGTGGGGTACCGATCCTGAAGCACAAAAATTAATGTGCCACGATCTTGAAGCATGAAAAATAAAAGAAGGAAGTCCTGAAGCACGTAAAATAAATTTATTACGAATCTGAAATGTAAAGTGAACATGAAATGTAAGCAACAATCATACTTAGAAGTCTTAAAGGTGAATATAAACAGTCTGTTCTAGGCGGTGTGTTCACCTATTTGTTTACAATTGCGTCGATGTTCATGATTTATATAAACTTTGAAACCTCCGTTCCCCAATCAAAATATAGCTAAAATCCAGAAACAAAATTAATGGAATATATTGTCCAGAAACGAGAAATAACCGTCTTTAAATACAGCTGAAAACGGAGAACGGATATTGAATACACCGCAAGCACGATACACGGCATCCATGTCGGGATCGAAAAACGTTTAATAAAAAGATGACTGAACGAAGAACGAATAATTAAATTACCCCAATACGCAGCACGAAAATACCCCATTACCCCCCTCATTGAAATATTACACAAGACTCAAAAAAGGTGAAAAATGGGTGTGTACGTCTTGCTTATTTAAGGAACTACCAGGTAATGCTTGTTTTATAAGTAATGATTGTTTGGAAGCGGGGATGGACGATGACGAAACATGTAGAGGCGAATTTACAGAGACTGATTTTGCGAGCGTTGAAGAAATCGCGAAAAAGTACATTAAAAATTGGTCATATAAATGCGAACAGTATTGCTGGTTTTAAACTTTACGAGATTAAATAGTAGCTGACACAAGGCTTATTTGATATATACTTGTAATTACTGAAACTAAGGTGGATGAAACCTTTCCAAACAGTCATATTTATGTTGACGGTTTTCGCTTTTGTGGACGTGATAGAAATATCCATGGTGGGGGTATTATGATGTACATATTAGGTCGGATATAATATACGAACATATTACACAACGGACAGATCAGCACACCGGAGTTGACTTTCTGGCATGTAAAGTAAAAATAGGTAAAAAATGGATTATGATAATTGGTGTTTATAAACCACCGTCATTAAAGCAAACTCAATGGAAATTAGAGCTTGAAAATATTTTTGAAATGGCTCCAACCATAATAAACAATGCTATAATATTGGGAGATTGTAGGATATTTATGAACATGCTTTGATAGAAAGGGATAGATTATATAACGCGAATTGCATGACGGGATTGATCATGTGCGATAGAAGTGTGCGCGAATTTGAGAGTTAATGAGAAAACATATATTTTATACGTTGAGTTTTAGTTATTAAAGTTATCTATACAAACACTTTCCACCCAGTGTGAGTTGAGAAATAAATAGATTAAAGAGATTTTAATTGCGATTTACTACAACCAGATAAGTCATCAAAAGATGGACGTATGCTCCTTGATTTAATGGATAATTTGCATCTAGTAAATTTAATAAGAAACCCAACGCGTGCCACTAGTACTTCTGGTACTTTAATTGATTTAATCCTGACTAACAATAAGAAAAAAATCTTGACACCAGGCGTGTTTCATGCACAAATTAGTGACCATGTACTCGTTTATACCATATTGAGGTTGACAACCCCAAGGTTATATTCACGGAAAGTATGTACTAGAAGCTATAAAAACTTTGAAAAGTACACAGTATGCTTTTCGTCGCGATCTACAGTATGCTCCGTTTCACATAATGGATATTTTTTATGAAGTTGATGATAAAGTTTATGTGTTGGACACTTTATATTCTGATATTATTAACGAGCATTCTCCCATAAAACAATTCCATTTAAGAGGAAATCAAGTGCCATTTAAGGCCCTGTTACACGGTGCAATTTTTCATGCAACTTGTCTCGCAATGTTTAAAAAAACATTTTGATAATGCATTGCAAGAGGTGTTACACGCTGCAATGATTTTCATGCAACTCGCAACGATAGGGGACAGAGGCATGCGAAGAGACTAGGGAGAGACGCTTTTCGGCGCCAAATTTTAATTAAAGTAAAGCGTGTACTGGAAACCTGCTCTGGGAGCTTAACTCGCCGCGAGATAAGGCGAGCCTATGCGAGTTAAGGCGAGATAGGGCGAGTTAAGGACAAATCTGGCTACTGACCTTTGCGAGTTAAGGCGAGATAAGGCGAGTTGAGGAAAAATCTGGATATTGTATATACACTACGTATTTTGCTTTGTTTGTGCATTATGCAAAGCAAGTATGCAGTACTTGAAGTTGCAGACCTAGAAAAGTGTTTTATTCTATATTCTACAATACATACATGATATGCACAATAACTCGGGAGACCTGGAAACAAATTGCATTAAAACGAGGCTGGTAACCAGATGCCAAATTGTTTAATTTGAGGCATTATGCATTGTTTCCTAAATCTTCACAGTATCAGTTGCAACTTGCTATCACCAGCTTCACCACAGATTTTGTAATTTTTAGCTGTTTTCATGAATCATGACATCAATTAGGTTCGAATTTGTTTGCAAGCAGCAGTCCTTGTATTCAATTTTTAATTTAATTTAATATAACCTGCATTAATATGAAACAAAGAGAAACTAAAAAGCTTGCTAGGAAATTACAGATTATTTACTATTAAATTTAGCACTTTAATAACTATTTTAATTAACGAAATTTCGAACCACAATGCCATATTAAATGATAACTAACGGTCGTAATACTAAAATTAATGCCCAACTTACTTGCTTTGGAAACGTAAATGAATGTAAATGACAATGATTCCTCTATATAAAACTGTATTATTGTTTAATATATTCCTATTTCCTATCAAGCTTTTATATTCAGAATTCACTGCCTCTCATTAACACTAACACTAAATATTGCAAGCAGATAGTAATTTTCCGCTGAAGGGAGCAATATTTGCAATATCTGCTCCAGACAGCATCCCGCCCCCCCTGATAAACGGAATCTTCCTTCCCATCATCGCCGTAATTCCTCTGTGGTCGGGGGGAGGGAGTCTACGCAGTCTATAAGTCACAATCATTCGATTCCACAAACTCAATATGGCGGGATATGCATCAACATTTTAAAGTTTTTTATCATGTTATTCATGTACTATGATATTAAAATGAGATTAAAAAAGCCTTGTCACTACAGATTGTTTCTACTAAATTTAATGTTGGTCACAGACAGGCAAACACGGTATGTTTACTAAAATATTCACCTTTAACTTTGCTTTTAATACTGTAAATCTATATTTTCACGAATTTTGTGAATGTGATTGTGTATTAAAATATTTCTCCTAAAACTCTGCGCGTATCGTTGGTTCAGTTGATCTGTATCCGGTTGTATATAGAAACAGTTCAACGAATATTAACTTTGTAGTTTGATCTGTTGATATCACAGAGACCTTTATACTATAAGTATAACAGTATTTTAGCAAAATTTGATAGTCATGTGATAGCTGCATAAAAGCTAAGCAAGTACTTTTGATGTTTTCATATCATTGTATAGTTGAAATAGAATAAATAAGTGATCTGTATATTAGTATATATGGGAATATTAGTTTTCAACCATACTTGGCAGTTTGGGTTCTGTTATTATGTTCAATTATTTTCACTGTGATTTATTAAATACTGGGTATTACTGTATACAGTATGCCTGCTAAGGCCTGCTTACTGTATTAAAGTAGAGTAGTTGGTGGAATTATTTGATCAATACAGCTTTATGGCATTACAGAGAATGTAGTAAATTAAAAGTATGATAACATTTCAGATAATCAGGCTTACATACTTGTATGTTGATGTCAGTTGCAATGCCAAACTTATAGAATATATAAGTGAGTATCGTGAGTCTAAAGAATTTTGATTGACAGTATTTGTGTTTTACTGACGTGAAACTGTGCCGGTTTCTATTGCAAAGTAGGGCAAGTTTAGGGGAGTTAAGCAAAATTCTGTCAACTTCTCATTGCGAGATAAGGCGAGATTGGGCGAGTTAAGCAAAATTCGATCAACTTCTATTGCGAGATAGCGCGAGATAAGGCGAGTTAGGGCGAGTTAAGGCGAGTTAAGGTACCAGAGTAGGCCTTACTGGGGAGAGCCAATAGGAACTCTCCAAGCTATAAACATTGCGAGACAAGTTGCACGAAGCCATGTTACACGCTGCAATGCTAAAAATAATTAGTGCAATCGTTGCCAAAAGTAGAACCGATTTCTATTCTGTGCAATGCTTTATGCAACTTGTCTCGCAAAGATCTTGACCATTGCAAGGCATGTTAAACGGTGCAATGACTCGTGCAACTTGTCTCGCAACTCCATTGCGAGACAAGTTGCATGAAAAATTGCACCGTGTAACATGACCTTTATGAGCGAAAAATGGAGAAAAGCCACTCGCTATAGAAACATGCTTTGGAAAAAAATTATGCCTGATCGCACAGATGAGCATTATGCGATATACAAAAAACAAAGAAATATATGTACTTCTTTGAGGCGTAAAGCAATAAAGGCATATTTTCACTCTAAAGTAGAAACATCGAAAAACCCTGGCGATTTTTGGAATGTTTGTTAGCCTTTCCTTCATTCTAAAAAATCAAAGCAAGCAAGTGATATTGTGTTACAAGAAGATGGCCATTTGGTTAAAAACAAAAGAACTATAGTACAATTATTTAATAGCTATTTCATGCATGCTGCAGATTCAGCGCCTGAAATCAATGAGAGGGTTTTTGGAGCGCATTTCAGTCTGCACCCAAGCATCCAGACTATATTGAAATAAAAATAAATATGAATCATCTGAATTTAGTTTTCGTTGTGTAGACAAGGATCAAGTATAAAAACTTATGTTTAGTATTAAAACGAAAAAATCATGCGGACACGATCAAATATCACCACGTCTACTAAAAGACTCCGCACCAATAATAGCTGAGCCAATTGCTAAAATAATAAATAGCTCAATTACCCTAGGCCAATATCCCTCTTGTTGGAAAATGGGTCAAGTGACGCCTTTATTAAGAAAGAAAACGAGTTGAACAAAAATAATTATAGACCAGTAACTATTTTGGCCTCCTTTAACAATGTTTTCGCGAGAATCCTTGCTAATCAAGTTGAAGATTTTTATGAGAACACATTGGCGGATCATATTTCTGCGTATAGGAAGAACTATAGTTGTGAAACATCCTTATTAAAGCTAACTGAAGACTGGCGCCAATCTCTAGACAACAAAGAAATTGTCACAGTTATATCGTTGGATTTGTCTAAGGCATTCGACTGCATATCTCATAATTTACTTTTGGCAAAACTCAGGGCATAAGGACAGGGTTGGTAACTTGGTCTTTTTGCGGCCAAATAACTCGATTTTGGCTTTTTTATTTCTTGTTTGGCCTTGAAAAAAATGTTTGACCTTTTGGCTATATTTTGGCTTTTTTATCAAGTGACAGGAACTTTCACTATTGTTTAGTATAATTTAATATTATGAAAGAATGTTAAATTATAAAGCAACATGTAGGCATATAAGAATTGTGTGGCGTTGGTAGAGAATAACCAATTCTATTGACAAGTGCATTCTGTAAGTTTATTAAAGAGCTATCTGTTTAGTCGTAAGCAACCTGTGAAAATTGGCGACACATATTCAAGTTGGGAATTGGTAACAAGCGGAGTCCACAAAGTAGTGTCTTGGGGCCAAGATTATTTAATATTCATATTAATGACTTGTTTTACAATGTAAGTCTTGGAATACTTCATGCTTATGCAGATGATGAACAGTTTTTACAACTCTGATTGTGATCCTGCAGTTCTGGAGAGTAAGCTTAATCATGAACTGAACATGATAAATACATGGCACAGCAATAATGGCGTGATTGTAAATCCAGAAAAACATCAAGCAATGGTCCTCGGCAATTGTAATCACATGTTTGCATTCCCTGTAAACGATTCGATTGGATTAGTATTAGGAGTAACTTTAGATAACGAATTGAAGTTGAACCGCCATATTACAACAATTTGTGACAAAGTTAAAAATCAGTTCAGTGTCATAAAGAGGTTTGGAAAACTTTTAGCAAGAAATTATTATTAAAACTTTATAAAGTATTTGTTTTACCACATTTTCGCTATTGCTCCCTCATTTGGCATTTTTGTGGAAAAAGGAATACTGAAAAATTAGAATCTTTAAATAGACGTATATTAAGATATATTTTTCAGGATAAGTAGTCTAGTTACGATGACCTGTTATCTCAAACAAATGTTAGTACATTGTATAATGCTAGAATGTATAGTATGTTGTCTGTGGTTTTAGTTAACAGCCTTTTGCATCCTAGGTATCCCAATTATTTAAAAAGGCTTTTTAAAGTGAGAACGTCCAAATATATGCTTAGAGGCCAAAATATATTGGCTTTATCCAAACCAAAAACGACCAAGTATGGATTAAAGTCCATAAAATATTTAGCAGCCAAGAGTTGGAATTCACTTTCGGACGATTTTAGGACGATAATGGACATTTATAAATTTAAAACCGAAATTGACCACTTGCGTAATAGACGAAATTTTGATCTCAACAAAAATTTCATCTCAGCTTGAAAGAGCATCACAAAATTAGTAATATTCCAAAGTTTCGTTGCGAAATGTTGTAAAATGCGGAAAATATAGCCTTGCGAAGTTTGCAATTTTCAGTCATTTTAGATTACAAATGGGAAATTGACAGCCCCAAACCCTTCGAGGACCTTAGACTTGTATACATCAAAATTTAGTCTATTACGCAAATAATCAATTAAAACGCTGAATATTTCTATTCCTTCTTAAAATTGTATGGCTAGAAATATATATATATATATATATATATATATATATATATATATATATATATATATATATATATATATATATATATATATATATATATATATATAGTACAATCTGCAGACATGCATGTTTCGGCGTCCTACGCCTCATATATATATATATATATATATATATATATATATATATATATATATATATATATATATATATATATATATATATATATATATATACCTCATATTGCATGTATGACATGCTGGAAGATATTAGCTCATTGTTTAATGAGCTACTCTGTAAATTCGAGTTAAAATAAAGTATGTGTGTATGTATGTATGTAAGACCCACACATTCTAGGAGGGTCCGGGGGCATGCTTCCCCGGAAAATTTTAGAATGCCCATTTCCTGCGATTTCACGCGAAATACTCCAACGGGAACATAAAAAAATTGTGTGATTAGTGGAAAGTATATGATAATTTTTTTAGAAAAAATTTTGTAACTTTTTAAAACTCATGCATTTTTATCATATTTCATTATATATTTTTAAACTTAAGTGAAAATGTAGCTAAATATAGTCAAGTCACGAAAAAGGAAAATATCATGTGTACATAAAGTGCATGTATACAATACGCGTTTTATACACCATAACGATACCGTACGGTTAGCATTCGTTAAAAATTCACTACGTTTGTTAGTATTAATGTGTTAAACTTTATATAATGGAGTGGTAGCAACTACAGACCACTAGGCTTGGCACTCTGAATGTAATGCAGTACGCCATGCCTATGGTTTTAATATAGCGTTTAATATAGACTATAGTGTATGCGGCCAGATATCTACATAAACAGTGTGATTCTAAGACTAAATTGGTACTGTATATAATTTTTAAACTCTATATAAGTGCTCGTGTTGCTCGTGTTTCAATGCATAAAGCATATGAACTGGCAGTAAATATTACGTTCTTACCTTATATGAATACGACAGGCTTCAGAAATGAAGTTTGTATTCCCCATTACATTGTATTATACACAATCGTCAGTCGAGTCTGTTCAAATGCGTGAGCTAAAATATCTTAGTAGAAGCCAGAAATTATATCAAAATCGCACTGGGCTGCCACACTCGTTGATTTCCATATTCATAACTTTAGTAATCTTGAAAGAATTAGTAAAAAGTGGGTTTAGTCACGCGGAAAGTTCGCAAATAAAGACAATAAAAGGCCAAGTCCTGCCATTTCGAGAGAGCAGGACTTCGCATTTGTAAACAGTCGATTTTGAGCATGCGCAGACCTAATTATCCAATGAGAAAGCAGAATTTCTTGTATGAATTTACTATGAGATATACTAGCAAGTCCTGCCGTTTGAAAATGGCAGGACTGAAACACGAGCGCGTGTAAATCGACGAAGAGTTGCAGTTGCTAGGTAACAGACACGGTAAGTTGTAAATTCCGTAATATATAATAGAATGCGAAAAAACTTTAAAAAAACTAATAAAGAAAAAGACAATAAAATGAGACAAAATAACAATATGATAATGATGAATTTTTAAAGCTTCAAGATAAATAAAGCAATGTTTTAGTGAGGAAGTTTTTAGTCCTGCTGGGCAGGACTGAGCGCTAGCTACGCCACTGTGTGCCAGGCTGGCTCACCAAACCAAATCATGAACCTAAAATTCATATTTTTGCAAGAAATTGTCACGATCGTTATGACCCTCAGAATCGTTCACAGACACGTTAATGTTTAAAATTATAGATCAAAATCTGCATGGCTCAGAGAAACTCTTATTTACAACAATATATTCAGCCTGCCAGCCCACTTATGGGCGAGATCTGAGACTCTGTGTGGGCTTCACAAAATAAACAAAATGTTTGCTTAGGAGAGCCAGCCCGATTCCCACATAACTGCAAGACGAATATTACAAGTTTTCCAGACAGTCATATACAGTAGTTAGCACAGCCAAGTAGATTATCATTTATCACAGTCCGACAATACCACCATAACAGCCATCCAAAACATTTTGACTCCAAATTGCTGATTACTTTTCTATAGGTAAATTACTACTCACAAGTATCATATTAATAGGCCTTAATTATAGCATAAATTTCAATTTGTAAATAAAATAGACAGAACAATTCGTATATAAACATGGTGTAATAAAAATATTTAATAATTAGAGAACGAGGCCGAGTTGTCTATGAGCGAATAGTCAACGAGGCGAAGCCGAGTTGACTATTTGCTCATAGACAACGAGGCCCAGTTGTCTAATTGTTTTAGTATAAACTTTAACATTAATTTACAACTAGGCTTCAAACACAATACAAAAATATACAAAAAAACATTATAAAACCATTAAAGGTAAACAAATATTTTAGTTTTTGTTCGCGTAAAATGTTTTACAAAATTCAGTTTTAATTTTAAAATTTCATTGAGTTTATGTTATTTTGTTTATTTTTTTACCCTTAAAAATTGCCATTCCATATTTTTGTTCCTTTTTTGTTTTTTTTTAGTACAGAATTGTTCAACAAGTCGTCCAAAAAAGCATAAGACACGTCTGCAAAAGTGCAAAACGCGAATTTTCCGCCATTTTGAATTTTCTATTAGTAGGCTATCACTAATAGCCTACTAGAAGTGTAGCCAATCAGAAGGCACGAAATGTGATAGCCTACTAATAGGTTTATACTAAAATTTTATAGTCATTAAATTAAACCTCGATTGATGGGCTTCAACAAGCAATTTCACTAAAGGGTCCGCAGTGAAGAGGAGTGAATAACAGCTATGTTAGGAGAAATCTCCAATTCTTCTTGGATTACTTTCTTTAAAACATTCAGTAGAAGATTGGGGTGTAGGATTATCGGTATATAATGGGAAAACACAGAAACGGCACGCTCTCCATGGAAGAAAACAATAAAATAGATACACCTTGGAAGCATTCCTGATTCCCTGCCTACGTAGTATTGTTTCCTACTCGTCACGTTGCCTCAATAACTCGTTATTCGACCAATTTTCGCTCAAAAAGCTCAAAATATTTTGGAAACTTCTTCACTCCTTGGATTAATTTCGGTTTCAATAAAAACAACGCGTGTGTTATTGCCGGAAATGAAACTTGACCAAGCATAAACCGAGATGCCAAACTTCCGGTGGAATCCCCAGGCAAAAACAATTGCAAACATGCGCAGAAGCGACTGTAACATACCCTTAAGGCGGTCAAGATACCCGCCATATTGAAACGTCATTGTTGCCGTAATATTCGTAGTCACGTAACTTTTGGTAGAAAAAGCAACTTCTATTGATGTTGTTTTACACAACAAAGCACTCTTTCCTTTTCAATAGATAAAAATGTTCCAAAAAGACATATCTAAATCGTAAATTTTCCATTTTTAGAAAACTATTTAGACTCACCTTAAGAAGTTCTTTAAATCTATGCTTTTAATGTTAATGATCCCATGGCACCTTTTAAGACCTTATTGTATAAGAATCGGAATATTAATTTTTTTCTATCTTTATGATGATCAGTCCGTCATGAGTCCTTCGTATGGAGAATTGATAACACCGGACGTAATTCTGTGCCAAGTATGACTTTAATTTTCTTCAGACAGTCTGTGCAAGTGAAACGCAATATGTTTATATTATTTTATCAATTGTATTTCAAAATTGGGCTTTTCCAGAAATTAAGAAAGATTTTAACATTCAGTGAACCATAACTTCAGCTGTTGAGAAAATGCATTATCTAAATGTACTGCACCAATCAGTTTCAGAACTTCGAAATTTCCTCAAATATTTTGTACAAAAATCATTTCATTGCGCGAATTATTGAAGTTGCATGGACAAACTTGTTTAACGATCGAATAAAGCATTTAAATTAGCGCTAAACCCATCCAGACAGTTTGTTAATGGTTTCTTGTCTCTAACAATACTGTATATTACTTTCTATTTCAGAAAGAATATCTGCAAGTTGAACTGCCGTACTTAGCTGACATCAGAAAGATTGTCACGGGAGGAAACGTGACTTCATATATCGTGAAATTTAGTCAAGATGGGAGAAAATTCAAATATTATAACCATTCGGCAGAATTGAAGCAATTGGTATGCACTTTCCTTCTCTTTTTGCACAATTCGACACTTTCCCTGCACGATTATGTAGTTAAAATAGAAAATTCCAATCCTGCTCTAAATATGCTCTACTGCATGCATTGAACACTTCATAAAAATATCGCCAAGCAAACCAGTGTATATAAAATTCTATAATTCCCTCTTGTCTGTAGTCCCTCAGGCAGAATAAAAATACTGGAACATTTAGCTGTACAGCGACAAAAATATAAAACGGGAAAATATGCGGAATATTTCTAGGTATATAACTATGTTGTCCCCGAGCAAACGGCGCGGAGCGCCGTTCCGGTCGTCAGCCCGGGGCGAGGGTACTAATTCCCCTCGGCTATTTACACCCGGGGAGAGGGAAGCATTAGCGAAGTCTAAAGTTCATCAATGATCGCGGGCTTGATTCTGTTTTTCAGACCTATAAGGTTTGAAAAAGCAATGGATGGCCAACCGTGGGTGATCATCCTCACTGATCTCAAAAACATGACTGTTTGCCAGGAGTGGGATAAACAAGATTTCAATTTTCAAAAGCATATATTTGGAAAATCACGTTTCACACAATGAGCTTTGAAGCAATTTTTATTTGAAGAAATGAGAAGAATCGATTTACTGTGGAAAATCGTGGAATATAGGGCAGGTTTGCTTTGATTGTTGAATGTTTATGAATTTTGTTCCTTTAATTTATTGCGTAAAAATGCACTATTTCCCTTTTCAGTGAAGCTGTATTAAAGTTTGCTATAGAATTACCCTGTTTAATTTAAGAAAAAAGGTAAATGTAAAGGAGAGCAAATTAATTTGAAAAACGAACTGATGTTACTCAACAATTTGAACTTATTTTGTTTTATAAAGTAAAAACAGTTTATCGGAAAAAGCAGTTTATAGTTTAATATTAAAATTTAACCTGAATCGTGTCGTAAAATCACTGGAAAAAAGATTTGATTTACATACTTTACAGAAATGATGTAACTTTACTGCAAATTTACAGTAAAACCAAATTTCGAACAAAAATGTACATTGACATGGTATGTACATTTTTTAATTGTATGTAAAACCTGTGTCAATTCCATGTAAATATCTACACTTTTTTCGGAAAGACTGCAATAACCCTGGAAAACCCATGTGAAACTTTGAGCAAATTCACTATGTAAAAACCCTGTAGAAGATTCCTCAAGAACTGTGTCAAGAGCATGTAAATTTAATTTTAAAAAGCCTGGAAACTTATTGTAAAAATGATGGAAATTCCTCTGTCCAAATTATGTAAAAACAATGTAAAAAAGCTGTAAAAATAAATTAAAGAAAACCTGCAAAAAAGCAAATTCACAATGTAAAAACCTTGTAAAAGATTCCTCGAGGACCGTGTCAAAAGCATGTAAATTTAAATTCAATACGCCTGGTAAATATAGTGTAAAAATCATGTAGTTTTAAATTTCAAGAAATCATGTAAAAATTACGTAAATTTATCTGCAACGAACCATGTAAATATGCTGTAGGAAACCAATTAGCCATTCCGAAATTGAGGAGAGGACTGGGGACGAGTGTTGAAAAGTGCCCAAATTAAGAAATTAACCAAATAGCTAAAAAGACCCCCTCAAAATTAGTAAGTATACGAAGTTTAAAGTTAATACCCTTCGAATAATAAGCTTTCGAAAACTGTGAAATTACTGATTAAAAGTTTGTTTTTTGGAAATAATGTTTCGTTCCCGTGGTTCCAATATAATTATGGAAATATAGATTCCAATATAGAAATACCAGACGTCTTTAATTAGCGGTTGTGACCAATAGATCACTGGTTCATTTTGTGAAGCGGGCGGGTTCTGGTAATTTTTTCGACGTTTTAGTAATTTTCACTGATTAACTAATAGTATTAGCATTTGTATTGAAAATGAGGAAAAACAAAGAAAACTATATAATAAATATATACCGCTGTTGGCGCTTTGTTTTAACATGTATTTTATTATCCATGGTTTTAATAAAGAATTTTTAAAAATACTTCAAATATAAATCCTGTAGATTGGCGGGCAAAATTTGCTTGCAGGCAAAAAAATCACCGCTCCGAGATGCTAAATTGCTAATAGTGAGGTGGTATTAAAAATATATGCCGCTATTTATAAAAATACTTCAAAATGGCGACAAAATTATATATTATCTAAAAGGTTTAATAGTATAAAGATACACAAATATTTCTGGCGTCCTTGGTCCACACACACTGATTCACGAGGTTAGCATTTATCAACAAGGCTACGAAGCATGGGTGGACGACAATTAGGTATGTATATTTATAGTTTTTGTATAAAATCCCATGCATCTGATTTATATTCTTTGGCTCTTTGCTAAATATATGTATGCACATACTTTAAAATATTTGAAGAGCATTGTGTCTTTATATTGAGGTCGATGACGGAAATTGGCGGTTCATTTTGTGTTCACCGAACAAATCCAAAATTTTATAATAAGTGCATGGAAAAACTTGATAAAGACGCACATGGCCAAATTTGTGAAAAATGTATTTTTATATTAGTAAGGGTTTGCCTTTGGTAAAATATATTAAATATATTTATGCTTAATACGCTTAATTATATATATTGTACAGCAATACAGAATTTGCATGCAAATATCGAATGTTAATACTCATGCAATTAAATAATATGAAAAATACTGTATATACTAATACAGTCGACCAAGTCGTTGCCTCTACTTAATATGGACACCTCTTAAAGTATTATGCTTAATAGGCTTAATTATATATATATATTCCCGGGCGTACGTAATTGATAAATATTGATATCAATCAATACCAATTGATATTTACATGTATTAAATAATCGATTGATATTAGAAATCAATAAATATCTGTAACTTTGTAAATTTGGTGCGACTTTCATCGATTGATTGATTTTTTAAATTGATTGATTTTTTATCGATTTTCATTGATGGAAAAACCTGTGTTAATATGCATGCAATCAAACAGGTAGCGCTGTAATTTAATTAATACATACTTTAATTAATGTTGTAACCAAAAAAATGTTAACGAATTCAGTAAAAATGAATGAATTAATTAACTTTTTATCTGGCCATACAGATCGAATACATGTGTACCTTTGAAAAATGGGAACAGATAATAGCTTGAACATGCTGACACACTGTTTAGGATATATAAATCGATAAAAATCGATCACCTGTAAGTACTCCGGAATATATTATGCAGCAATAGAGAATTTGCATGCAAATGTGAAATGTTAATACTCATGGTATGCAATTAAGTAATATGAAAATTATATACTGTCTACCTCTACTTAATATGGACACCTCTTGTAGACGGACACTGTTCTTGGGTCCCAGTCAAAACACAGCTATTATATATTAGTACTATATAAACCTCTCTTAGGCAGAAACCAAGTGAAGTCATGAGGGGTGAGGGTATCCACTTGTATTAAACACAACAAAAACACAACTATGTAGTACACTGTTTTCTTGGAAGATGTTAGAGAAGAATGATCTCTTGAATAATATCATCGTTCTCCTTGTATTTTAGGGAGATTGGTAGTTTTTGTAGCAGCGCAGCTGTCAACTCTTCAGCGTGGCGGTTTTCATTTTCATCAATGGTGAAAAGTTGGATGAATACTTTTTGGAACACTGTGACAGACTTTAAGTCTTCTTCAGTCTGAAGGCAGAGATTACTCACATATGCTTTTTGCAATTTGTCATCAGGATAAATTTTCGAACAACGCGGGCACTGGTTGGTGGAATCGAGCTTTTTGTTCCTGCATTGTTTGTTACTGCAGCTGTTGTAGCAAATAACATTTTGAATGCCAATGATGGTTCCATCTTTGTAGAGTTGATCATATTCATCATCAGTGTCAATGAGGATCAAGTCCTGGTTTTCAGACACCTATTCATGCAAGCGGGTACAGAAAAGGTATGTGTAATTATGGCAAATAGAGCATAACAGTAATGTGGATTACAGACGTTATATGTATATTGCTCATAAGATGGAAAAAGAAGCTTTTGCATATTTAATTTTATGCAATAAGCTATGTCAGACTTTCAATTTATGTGACTTATTTAATTTTTATAGAATATATTTGGATTTTGTAAATCACACAAAAAAATGATGAGATTAATACACCCTTTCGATAATTATGTCGCACATATTTTTTGGTCTTTGAGCCTCGCTCTCATCAGTAAATTATGCAAGGTGATTGGCTCATGATTCATGAGAGCTAGGCTCCCAGGTCAAATGATGTAATTATCAAAAGGGTGTATTGTTCTAGATAACAGTGAAATATTTCTCATGCTACTGAAGAATTCGGATCTGTTTTTTCAGCTATTATAATTTTTCATTTACCTTCACTTGAGTGTGAGTTGTTGAAGATGCCATTGGTCTATTCTGGAACATTGATGTCTGTAGTCCAGTAAATGAGATAACGTCTCCTTGGGAAAGTGGTAGGGATGCCTTGTCTTTCCAGAGAGATACTTGCATCATCCCAGTTGTGTCTTTCAAGAACACTTTCTTGAGGTCTATCGAGTTATTTTTTACCTTTATTGGTGGTTCAATCTACAGTACATAGTAGAGGTAGAATTAAAACACACTATATAGTTGTTACAGACTATTATAATTACACTTTTATAGCAAGTAAGGGTTTCACAGACAGGGTTGGATCATATAGTACTGTATGTACTCACCATCTAAGAAACAGTTTTTAAATTAGAGACATATAAAATACTGTATTACTAGCAAACTTTTCTACTTTAGGGAATAGAGTAAATATATGCAGCAATTTATTCTTCTTAGGAGCTATATAGAAAGTGAATACTAATAATAGCTTTTTTTGGCAAATGCAATCACTCATACATACCTTTGTAATTTTTCCCTCAATGGATATTTGTCGTTTTCTAGGAAGTTTCAATGCCTCTGCTATTGGGGTCAATTTGATGGTTGGGAAGGATGGTAGGAGTGGTAGTGGTAAGTTTTGTTTCAAGTTGAATGTTGGAATAAGGAAGATGCTTGATTGCATGTTGATGTTCAATTGAGGCTCTTCATCACAAGTGGTTATGGTGCACTTCGAAATAACAATTGATGTGTTTTTCTGAAAGAATTTTTTGACAATGTCTTTTTCGTTTGAAATGTGACATTTGATTGTGCCTGAATCATCAGCAACAATACTCATGACAATGACATTTGGTGTGGTTGGATTATCATCATGATGGTACACTGGATCCACAATAACTTTAACTTTAATCGGTTTTGTTATAATTGCTTTTTCATCAGATGATGGAAGGTTTTTCAGGTCAGAGACAGTTTGAAATGACATCTTAAAAGAAAATAAGAAAATGTTAACTAATTAGCCTTTCTCACACCGACATTTTTGGGTGGCAACCTTTTTGTAAAAAGGTAGTCACAATAGTAAGCTGTGAAAATGAAACTTTCTATAACTATAGTACTGTATACATAATGATTATAAATCGATTTACAGTTAAATATTTGAAAAATTATTTTCACATCCCTTAGATTTTTCACGTTGTTTATAAAATAGTGATCCTAAAAATGGCAGATATATACTGTAATTTAGACCTTTGTGAGAAAGGCTAATTAATTATCTGGCAGTTGTGTGTCTCTTGTTAGGTTTAATAGTCGTTGCATTTCCTGAGTAACCTTTCTTGAAACTTTTATAGACTTTTCAGTGAATTCTGTTAGTGCAAGACCACGTAAAGATTGTACACGACTTAATGCTACATATGCCTGTCCAGGTTTATTGCATTTGGGTCCCAAATTGATTACAACATTAGAAACAGTCATTCCTTGGCTTTTGTGAATTGTTACTGCCCATGATGGCATAAGTGGTATTTGAGTTCTCTGAATCTGAATTCCTTCTTTGCCAAAAAAGTCAACAGTAACTGGTTTTATTAAAATTGCTTGTGTTGTTGAGTCTTTAAAAAGTTTCCCTACTCGTGGGTCATCAAATAGGACTTTTACTCCATAAGGCATTGTTTGATTGTCTGAAAATACAATACTAACAACAGTTCCTTGTGACCCATTCACTAATCCATCTGTGGTCATTATATTTCGTAAAAGCATTACTCTTGCACCTGGTAGTATGAAAAGTCTGGATGGCAATCCTCCACATTCTGAATCATTAGTTGGGATTAATTTGGTTGGTGCTGGTTCATTTGTATTACTGTTTATGTCTATAGCACATATTTGACATACTTCAGATTTTTTTAATTCTGAAAGCTCCTTCAATTTAAAGTTGTTATATTCAAGGCACTGTTTCCTTGTTGGGAAAAGTCTTAATGCATTTTTGAATGGTGCCTCATTAACATTAATTTTTGTTCTTTGTACAAGTGTGTGTATATCATTAATTGTTTGTTTTCCAATTCGTACTCTGTTTAACAGATTAGCATACTCAGAATCATCTTTTTGTCTTACATTTGAGACTAAAAAGATTGGTTTGAAGTGGGTAACCCACAAGTTCATTTCCCCTGTGTAGGTTATTTCATCAAATATATAATGAGCAGCCACAGGTTGTAACTGATAAAAGTCACCAAATGCTATAACAGAACAGTTTCCAAATAGATTGGGCATGTAATTTTGTGGTTTTTTAATTTCTTCCAATCTCTGATGTACAAAATGAAACATGTTGTCGCTTACCATGCTGATTTCATCAATAACTAAATATTCTAAATTTGAATAGTCAGATTGCAGTTGATCTCTTCTAGCTGCAGATAATGGATTGCATGAACTCTTTGAGGTAAAGAAGGATTTGGGGTGTTGGACAGGCAAATTGAAAGCACTATGAAGAGTACTACCACCAATATTGTAAGCAGCACATCCTGTTGGTGCTGTAAGTAGGATTGATTTTCTCTTTGTTTTTCTGAATACTAATTCTCGTATGAGGTTGATAAGAAATGATTTCCCTGTACCTCCACCTCCAGTAATAAAAAGGAAGAGAGGATTTGGTGGCACTTTTGTTAGTGATTGCTTATATTGTTGATTTCCATTGATGTGATTTTCAACTAGAAGATATATATTCTTTTGTTCTTCTGTCAGTTTTGCTACAGTTTCCATATACTCTTTATCAGTCATAGTATACAAAGTAAGAGCTGCCCAATCTTCATTCAAATTATCATCTAGTACACACTCATGGTCATTTTCAATATTTTGTTTGTCTTTGTCGAAAAATACAGAATTTGTTGTTTTACCTATGTCTTCAAGCAACTTATATTTATTTTCATAATTGTTTTCACTGTTGTCAAATTTCTCCTCATAATGTGCTGTATTAGGGGTTAATGAATAGGTCATATCCATGTCTTTGTTTTCTATACATCGAATGACGTGAAGTGCTTTTTGTAAATCATTTTGAATGTTTTCTCTTGAATATGCAGCGCTATCAAAGGTCTCGCATTTTGCAAAAAATGCTTCATGCGAATTTTCATATGGAGAAATTAAGTCCATTTCTGATCGAAAAGGCAAATAACAATACAATTTAGAGTAGAAATATTCATCATTGTCATCATGCAAACCAATTTTTGGCATTCTTAAACAAGCTGGGTTGGAACGTTGTTTGATTCTTTTTGCTAAATTTTGTAGCTCAAAACATGGTTGACGATGGTTGTCGTGTCTGCTTGAATTACATAATGAATACCACGACATAAAAGTGGTTATGCACATCTTTTCCCATAGTTCTCCTTGGGGACGGAAGCAGTAGTAATCGGCAAGGCCAGTTTGAAAAACATCTTCATTGTCATCATCTAATTGGTCTCTTTCAAGTTTTGATCTTAGAATTTTATGCCTGTTCTCTGGTTTTCTACAGTTCAAGAATACTGTTTTGACAGAAGACTCAATTAATGGCAAATTTGTCATTCGGAATGCAACCTCTTGTGCAGATATTTGCCTATGTGAAAGCACTGTAGAACCTATAGCATGGATTTGTTTTCTTTGTGAGCAGTTGTCTGGAAGTTGCTCCAAAACCTTTTTAATTGCAGATTTTAGTCCTTCAGGTTCAGACTTGCAAATATATGTGCAGATGTACATAGCAACCCCATATACATTGCGTACAAGCTGTATATCCATGTTAGCTTTCCATGCTTTTAAGATGTGTGGATTGTAGGCATTTATCATGGAATCAGTTTTTTGCCTCCTGGTAACATAAAACCTAGATGTATTTCCCTGATCAATATTGGTTTTAATTCTGGTTTTTTCTGATTCTGGTTTGGGAAAATCAAATCTGCAAAGCTTATTTTTTTTGGTGCAAGACTTTGTGTGATGATGAGTTTGAAGTTTTTCTACCAAATATTTAAGTTCTGGGTCTGAGTCATCAGGTAGAGTTGTCGACACATATTTATCAATAAATGCAGGTGCAAGTGATCGTCCAAACTCTGTTTGTAAGTCTGGGTGTTCCTTTGTCCAAATAAACATGTGAATATGAGGGCTACCTCGCATTTGAAACTCAATTCGCAAGAAATAATTCTCTATTTCCCCTAAGGGTTTGTGTTTTCCTTTAAGAATATATTTCAGGAATGCTTGTTTTCTACGATTAAACTGTTTTGCAACTAATATGGGGTTCTCTCTCATTAGTTTCCATTTGTCAGAAGAACTAAGTGTGTGTAATTCTTTTTTGCCTTGGGTTAGTAGATTGAATAAATCTGGCCACTGCAGATCTGCAGCAGACAAAGTTATGAACCATGTTGGTGCACCTAATGTGTTTATTCTAGCTAATAAATTCATTAACTCATTTCTCCAGTAAGCAGGTGTACCTCTTATTTGACGCATAAATACGTAAGAATCCTCAATTATGTCGGCATTAACTTTGCCTCTTAAATCACCAGCTTTAAGTCTTTGAACACTATTTGTTGATGAGGATTTCATTCTTAGAGCAATTGAGATACAATCACTAAGTTTTCTTGCTTCATAAACAGAATTTGCAAAGAATAGGTATGGTATTTCATTAGAAAATCTAGTATCCGAGTTCACCAGTCTCGACTGAAAATATGCCAAGTCTGTTATTTTCTTTTTGCGTTTAGCTGAAAAACCATTTTTTCCCCATGGAAACAGCCAAGGAAATGCTAATTCTTCAAGTGGAGTTGTTATTTGCCCTAAAAGTTTGACTGGGTTACTTGTATTTACTGGAAAGGTAAATGTGGAATCTGTTTTGGCATTTTGTTCTGATATGTTAGTGTTGAACAAAGACTTTTTTGATACATTTGGTAAAGCATGCGACTGTGTTATACTGCATTCAATTACATCTGGCCACGAATCTGTGCTACTACATGGTTTAATTTCACGTGATAAACTGTTCGTTATTTCGATATCTTTGTAGAGAATGTTATTTTGTTTTAGCCAGTGCAATGCATTGTAAACCTTGTGGTAAGACACTGGATATGCAGTATCTGATGAATCATTTGACTTGACAAAAATTATGTCAGAGTTTTCAACTGGTTTTGGTAGATTCTTGCACATTTTAGATATTTCTATTGGAAAATGTATTGATTGACCTTTTTCACCAAATTGTCCACCAGGCAAAATTACTATGGTTAAGTAGAAATGAATTTTTGAAATAAGGCGCTTTTCCATATCGTTAAGATCCTTAAGCTCTGGGGGTATAACTCCTGGATCCAGGTTGTTTGTATATGCTAAAGGCGGTACTGGAGTACCACGATTTAAAGAAGAAAGACACTTGCCACAAACTGTGTAGTTTGTACATTCTTGGGAATAGACCTTTTCTTCATTTATAAACAACATTTTTTTACAGTAATGACAATTACTTTTTGGTATTTGTTCAATAAAGGACATAAAGTTTTCCACATCATATTTAAAATCTTCCAGGTTTTTACCTTTATTTGTTTTAAGGTATTTTGCTTTTGTTGAGCTGGCTTCCTTTGACAATTTTCGCTTTTTTGGGGTAGCCTTATTGGATTGGCTTTTTTCAGTTTGATTTTGAAACTCTGATTTTGCTTCTGAAAATTGTGTGTTGTCTGAAAAATTTGATTCTTGTTGACAAAATTTTGTATCGAACTTGTTTGATTCAGGTCGAGAGAATTTTGCGTTCTCTGAAAATTTTGATTCTGCTTGACAAAACTTTTTGTTGTCTGAAAACCTTGATTCTGCTTGAGAGAAATGTGTGCTGTTTTGAGACTGGAAACATTCATCACTAAAACAAACAACAAAATGGTTTGGTTGCCATAGTCGTGTACATTTTGATGAGCATGATGTCCACATAATGTATATACACTGATCTGTGTTCATTTCTGTTCGTGGATATAGTGATCTGTTTAAAACATACCTGACCGTACTGTTGGTTGCTATGCCAACAGCTTCTGCAGGGTAGATGCTTTTAACAGCTTTATGCAAGACAGAGGAGAGGGCAGCAATGTGCCAAATGCCTACCCAGGAGTTAGAGTTTAGCGAATCTGCTGTAACTGCTTTTAGCACTTGAGATACATTGTCTATGTAATGCATATTTAAGTAAGACGTTTCCGATGGACTTGAATAATTAGCCATCCAAAATAGAAGCTGTTGGTCATCGGAATGAAACATGTTTTGTACACTCAAGTAATGCTCCGGATGACAAAGAAGTTCTATTATAGCCCTTGCTCTCATTTCAATATGATATTCTTCAGTACCAAACATGGCAAAACTGAAAGACCGGAATAAACAATTACCATCTCCTACAACTTTTATGGGATGAACATTTGCAGGACCATCAACAGGGTACATAGCTTGTGCAACATAGTCAATATCATTTATGTTGAAACTAAGAAATGGCTCTAAATCTGGTAAAGAATAATTGGAAAAGGACAGTTCTTCAAAATGTGCAGTCTGTTGCAGATACTCAAAATTATGTCGAGGTGCATCCCTCAATCGATTAAGAGAGGTTTCAAAAAATTGTCTTCTGAGTTGGTCCATGCAGTGTATATAACCTGGCTTATGACATTTTTAATGCAATGAAATCTAGAAAGTCTTACCGTAATGGGACAGTGCTGGAACTTGACTATGCGCTGTGGATATATCTAAAATTAAAAGCAGTCCCATTCATATCTTATTATATGTAAATAATATAGGCCTAACTTAAGGTTGAAAACAAACAAACCGGCTGACTTTTAGAGTTCACATACATGTAGTAGCCATATTGACAATTAAAATCTATCAATTAAGGCTTCCAGTTACTCTAAGCCTTTGTTAAAAATGAAATAGTCATATCTTCATGCATGTACAGTATACTTTAGTAGCTGCACATTGACTATAGGCCTATAGCCTGCCTGTGACGCAGTTAAAATCCATACGAAGCTCGCAAAAATGTCATTTAAAGGGGGCAATGTCACCGATTTTTTACTTAATTGAAATGCCTTTTATTCAAAAACTGAACTACAAGGTTAAAAACAAACATTGAAATGGATTAAGTTATGATATTTGAGTCATATTGAACAATTTTGAACTTGCACCCACTGACATGTAACATGACATTTTCATAAAAATTAACTAAAACTTGAAAAAGTGTCTGCCAACAATTAACTGATCAAGATGCCATTTACAATCCATCTCAATCCTGGCGTAACCTTGCCCATCCAGACTTCTGTCCATGTTTTTTGTGTCTATTATTGCTTTATTTTGTGCTTACACTCATTCTTTTTCAGTTTTGGGCAAAATTTGCGAGGGTTGGAATTACCCAAAAACCGGTGACATTGCCCCTTTAATGAGAATTTGAAAAATTATCAAAGCTATCAGCTACTCTAAGCCCTTGCTAGAAATGAAATAGTCATATTTAGATGCACAGTCTACTCTAGTGGCTGTGCATTATGACTTTTGCCTGGCTGTGACGCAGTTGAAATGCATACGAAACTAGCAAAAAATGTCATTTGATGAGAATTTGACAAACTATCAAAGCTGTCAGTGACTCTAAAACCTTTGTTAGAAATGAGAAAGTCATATTTAGATGTACAGTATATACTTTAGTGGCTGTGCATTGACTATTCCCTGGCTGTGACGCACTTAAAATCCGTACGAAACTAGCAAAAAATGTCATTTAGTGAGAATATGACAAACTACTGTATTAAAGCTGTCAGCTACTCTAAAACCTTTGTTAGAAATGAGAAAGTCATATTTAGATGTACAGTCTACATTGGTGGCTGTGCATTGACTATAGCCTGGCTGTGACGCAGTTAAAATTCGTACGAAACTAGCAAAAAATGTCATTTAATGATAATTTAAAAATTATCAAAGGTGTCAGCTACTTTAAACCTTTGTTAGAAATGAGAAAGTCATATTTAGATGTACAGTCTACATTGGTGGCTGTGCATTGACTATAGCCTGGCTGTGACGCAGTTAAAATTCGTACGAAACTAGCAAAAAATGTCATTTAATGATAATTTAAAAAATTATCAAAGGTGTCAGCTACTTTAAACCTTTGTTAGAAATGAGAAAGTCACATTTAGATGTACAGTATACTTTAGTGGATGCGCATTTATACTATAGCCTGGCTGTGACGCAGTTAAAATGTCTCACTATATAAACGTGGAAAAATGCATGCAATGCGCGTTCTAAACTTCATAACGACTACCAACAAAGGTTACTATTGTTTGTTATAGATATAGCTATTACCTATAAAGCTAACCTTTCAAAGACAGAAAATACATAATTTGTAGCTGCCACGCCTTGCTCATGCATGACGCAGTCAAAATTAATCAGAAAAATCAGAAATTTAGACACTTAAATCACTGAGAAACCAATGGAAAATGAAAAATATAGCTATTGAATGAGCACCACATTTATAGCAAATTCAATTATTGTTAAATACATGAATATATAACATACCTTCAATGTTGATTACGGCGTAAATAAATGTGCCTCGTCCTATAAAGGAAACAAAAAAATATTAGAACATTGAGCTTCATCTAAATTCACCACTACGTTTTCTAATCTTTACAGAAATCGAAGAAACTATTTTGTTGGTTAATTTGTAAATAAACTCACTATTAATTTTGAAACATTAAAATCGCATACCTTCTCACTCCGTCCACTTCTAGATCACAGGCCAAATGATGTCTTAATCTTAGTTTTCGAGTTAACATTGCAATTCGTCATTCTTGTCTTTGATTGGTTGATTTAAAAATGATTGACAGTAGAAAGATTACATCAGAGTCACATTTACGCTACTATTTTTAAATACCAATACTTGTCACGCCCATAGATATATACGCCATTTCCAAATTTAGATAAGGAAAGCAGCCTAGAAGTTGTAAACATGTTACGGACTTCCTATTTATATATTACAAGAGCATACGGAAACGAGCGTCTAATTATATAATTATGCCACAATGTATACATATTTCTTCATTTTTAATTTTTTGAAATGAAGTATTTGACCAAGCGCAGTATGTTATCTGGCCGCGCATTTATTCTTAGCTTGGTCAAACTGTTCCCGGTCCCAAAAAAGACTAAATTCAATTGTAAGGGCCAGGCTTAAATGAATTAAAGACTTAAATGCCAAGCAAGAGCTTTTAAAATTCTGGCTAAAATCTAGGACATCACGTGGTCACACATAGCGGATAGACCGCATTAGTCTCATATGTTGACATATAATTAACTAAGATTCCCAATTATACGCCACGCCTCCAAAAAACTTCTTATGCTAGGAGCAGTCATCTCATTGGACGATTCTAAATGTAATTGACGTTTCAGCAAGAATACTGGCAAAGGATTGGATAACTTTGATCTCTGACGTCACTTTCCTGTGATAATTGTTCGAAACCAAATACAGTACCGTTTCGTTCCTGCGGGGAACGAAACAAAAACTGCGCTAGCGGTTTGACGTTTGCCGTAAACGTCAATCTTAAGGTCTCTATTATCTTCATCCCCGCCCCTCCGCATAATAAATGTACTTTCGCTAAGAGCTAAACATTCAAACTGAACCATTCTCGAAGCGGTTTGCATGAAGGAAGTTCGAATTTCGGCCTTCGATTCTTGGTAACAATTTGACAACATCACGTGCGTAGCAACTGGGTCTCAAAGACTTAGCTAAAACATTGTGAGCCCCTAGCCTATTTTCCGGACGATATGTTTGATTCCTACAAACGCCGAAAAGAACTGTATTTTTTAAAAATACAGTTTAAAGTCAAGCTATTTTCACATATTTTCAAAATTTGTGAAATTTCGCATGCTTGTATTTTGAACTTAGACCGCTGAAGATACATTAAGAATCATATAGGATGGAAAATGTGAGGTATTTAAAATTACTTTCAACTTACATTTCATTCTCATATCACGTTCTTCTTCGTTTATTACGGTATTAAACAAGCCATAGCTCGACGTATAGGGTATTTACTCCTCACGTCGCCATATTTGCTTCGTCCAATCACTCGATTACAAAAAATCTTCACAAAACAAGGAATTCATGATCGATTTCTAAAAGAATAACCGTCAATTTGTAAATCGTTTGAAGGGAAAGCAAAAAATCGTCAGCTAAAACAGCTACTTTCTAACTTTCTGCACTGTCTTGAATGTAAATGCAATGAAGCTTTGTTTCTGCTCGTGATTTTTCGGTCAGCGACGACAAATTTTCCACCTGTTAACCTATTCAGAAAGTCGTCTATCTCTATTAATTCTTGCGTGAGCGCTATCCGCCCCTCAGCAATTGCCCTAAACAGATGTATCTCCTCCCTGGAAACACCAAAGAAGAAGATTCAATTCTATCAGCTTTATTGGACACAATATAGTAGTAATATTTACAAGTTATATGTACTGCTTCTGTTTAGGACACTTGCTGAGGGTCGGATCGATGACGAATAACGCTTACGCAAAAATGAATAGAGACGGCTTTCTGAATAGATTAGTATTCTGCGCTAATGTAGTCAAAGCTCTCAGGGTTGCCTCCACAGTCACCTCGCCAATTGTTTTCAAATTTCAAAAATTTCCCCGCAAATTTCATATTTTAATATTATAGCGTTTTCCATTTTTCCTCTAATATTTTCGGCCGTTTTGTTTTGGTCGTTTCGTTTCGACGTTTCGTCTTTTAGTACATGCCATTATTAATATCAGTAAAACAATGTCAACTAATTCCTAGTTTGTGTCATTATCAACATTGTAACGATTTATACGGTCCTTGAAAGTCAAGCGAGATCGTATGCTATCAAATGACCACAGGGCGAAATTACAGAATTAATACCAAGTTAATTGTAGTTAAATTAAGGTTAATGGTTGCTTTACCTTGCTTTATCTAAACTCGGTAAAGGTTTGAAAGATCCCTTTGCACTCCTTTACACTTTGTTATTAAACATGTGTAATGACGGCTTTACATCATTGCAGTAAACGCGGCATAA